AGTGACATATTTCCCAGCAGACATCACCGTCATCCCACAGCACATGACAATGTTTTCTCAGCCCCAACTTCCCTCCAAGCATGTGGCCTTTGACTGGAAGAAGATAACATGACAAAGGGTACACAGGGCCATGGACTGCAAGTTTGTCACCTGTTCCTGAGTCATCTAGAATTGCCAATCACACGGCTTACAACTGCATGAAACACTGTTCTACCCAGCTGTGGAGGGGGAAATACAGCAGTAAATCATTCCTTGGGGCCTAGATGAGATGCCCAAATGGAAAGCCACTTCTTTGTTTAATACATCCGTCTCTTCTGAAATGTCAAACCAATCCAGCAGCTAGAATTCAGCTATACATGGCACCTGGCTGCAATCAACCCTGAAAAAGTAAAACCACCAGTTGCCATTCCCAGGTTCCTATGACATCCATTCTTAAAAGCAAAACCATCCACTCCCATCGCAGTCTCTCCTGTCCTGAGCTGTTCATTTCTGCAGACTGTACTCAAACGGGCATACCACACATTCCTGGACAGTGGAAATAGGTCCTACTTTCTCACATGTGATTCTACCCTTGAGAGGAAGTAACAGCCTGGCTACAGAAACAAAAACCTAAACCCTGAGTCCCCTACAGGGAGGCAAAAACCCTAGCATGTAACTGGGTAGCACGGGCACCGTGTCCAGGTATGAGAGGGCAGACACAGAGTACACGCAAGAAGGGTGTGTGCCAGCCAAAGCAGACAGGTGTGGCTTCCAAGGTCCCGTGTGTGCCCAGGAACACCAACTAGAGGGGGAGAGCATGGCAGGTGCGGAGGGAGCAGGGCTGTGACGCAGGTGATGGAATGAGAGGATGCGTGGCTTCCAGACTGCAGATGGAGGGCTGTGGAAGGCTGCAGGCAGGACCAGGCAAAGGGGAGGGGCCCCTACCGGCCTCAGCAGGGGGTCCCCAGCAAAATCTCTGACAGTGAGCAAATGTGACTCCTGTGTGATCCACACACAGCCCACGTTAACAGGGGACATCATGAGGTCACTGGCACTGCACTCACTTTGAACCTGTCTCTTGGGGGTGGCTTTGCAGTGTGAGTTCTGACACCGAGGGCAAGTATCTCTCTCCAAGGCCCTGGTGTTCCGTGCCGTTGAGGGGCTTCTCCCTGGTGTGCACCCTCCAGTGACAAGACTGTGTCTTTGTAGACAAAGGCTTTGCCCCTCCTAACCCTTGCGGCCTATCCCTGGAGTGGATCTCCCCTCCCCATACTTGGGCAGTGGGGTTGGGAGCTCAGAGCCCTGCCGCACCCCAGAGGCAGGGCCACTGTCCAGCACGGATATACTGATGGTGACAAAACTGGAGTTGAAGCTGAGAGCCCCCTCACACTCCCCACATACAGGACTTCCCACCGGAGCGGCCTTGCTGGGTGCCACGTGTGCAGAGGTGGTCCCATGCGCTTTGCACTCAGGGCCGCCAGGCACTGGGCACCAGCTGGTGCAAAACCAAAGTCACTTGGCCACCTTGCACATACCGGCTGAGTGTGACCAGCTGGTGCTGACTCCCACATCCCAATCGCCATGGCGGCACCTGCCCCCCAGCAGATTTACGGGAGACGCGGGCTCCTGCAAGTGGTGGTGTTCAGGCCAAGAAGCAGCACTGTCCTTTCCTCCGATCTCCTTTTCATCCTGTAGGAGTGTCTAATGGGCAGTTTCTGACCTCTCATTTCACCCCTTCCTAGATGCTCGCCATGTCTAGTGCAGCCTCTGACTCACAACTACCTTGGAAACCAGGTCCCACTCAAGCTCCACTTTTGCACCTGATGAGAAAAAAACACACGGAAACCCCACCCCCGGGCTCTGCTTCAGGGAGCAGATGAGGCTTAGCATCGAGGTTCAGGGTTACTGGGTCCCCGGGTTCTGTTAACTCTCCCCCCACGGTGGCAGCAGCCTTAGATAGTGTGCACACAGCTGAGCGCGATTGCATCCCACCCAAGCTCTCCTGATGGACACGGAACTAATGCACTTCACATCACTTTTATGTCCCACAGATACTCACTTTATTTCCTCTAATAATGTTAAAAACCTCAACCATCATCCTCTCACAAGCCATCCACAGAACAAAGAAGACAGGCTAGATACAAACAGGGCTGCACCTCCCCACAAGTTTTCACAGACTGACTGACAGTCTGTGAGGTATTTGAAAAGCAATTATGTAACAGTATGTCTGTAAGTGTGACATCTGGAGATGTGGTACATTTGCCAGTTTCAGCACAGAGAAGGCAGTAAGGAAACAATGCTCTACCCTGAGAAGGAAAAGGCACCATGAGTACCCAAGTCTACAGGGAGAAGAGGACCAAAAGTAACAAGTGAGTAAGGTTATAAAAATTCTAAATGTGTACTTGCTTGCCTTTTCTCCTAGCTTCTTTAAAAGACCAGGCTGGAGTGTAGCTCAGTTGCAAAGCACTTGCCTGCTATGTTCGAAGCCCTAGATTTAACCCCAGCACCAGAAAACACAAACAAATAAAAGCTAATGATTTTGAGGATTTTACGAGCTTTGCAACACAGTATGTGTAATAATCACCAAAAACTCAGGGGAGGAATGGAGTAGTATGTGAGTGAAGCTTCTACCTTACTGGAAGTCATCAAAGATCCGAAGCAGCTCCGACAGGCCCGCCTGTATGCATATTAATAGCACAGCAAACCCTCCATAGCTGTGAATGCTGACAGCCCACTGCGGCACCTGGGTGACAGGCTCACTACCACTGCCTTCAAGTGACCTACAAGGAAAACAGTTCAAAATTCATGGAAGAAATGAAATGATCGTACCAGAAAGAGGTTATTCAATGCAAACAAAGGAAGTAAAATAGCTACAGAGAAGCAGATATTCAAGCAGAGAACAGACAATAACACGTGTGTGTACGTCAGACAGACAGAGGACCAGCCCCAGCTACAGACAGCCCCGATTCACGAAAGCTACTCCTTACAACGCTCTGACCCTTTGCAGGTCGTGAGAGTGACCCTCAGTCAGAAGAAGCTGTACTTGGAGGCCTGAATTCCGCCCTTTCTGTGGGCCATGCAGCACGCAGTGTGACACTCAGTGCTGGGTGGTGACGGCAAGCTATGTGGCTCTCGGTCAGCTGTGTGAACATAGGCAGAATCACGGAGCTATGTGCTGGCGCTGCCAGACTAGGGCTACAATGTTAGAAAGGTCAGGTTTGTGGAAAGAATTTCTGAATCATAGCATCTGCAGCTCACCTTACGGTTACTAGGGGTAGGAGCGACTCTGCTGGTATCTATAAAGACACAATGTGTTTGGACTCCCCTTGATAGTAACACTAGACAAAACCATCAAATAAAACACATTACGGAGGTAAACACCTTATAACAATACAAGCATCCATTTACCAGCAAGAGGCAACAGCTGTAGGTATGCTTATACCTAAAGGAAAGAACCCTGAAATACTTGAATAAATCAGAATCGAAGAAGAAACAGTAACAGATGGAGACCTCAATATTCCACTTTTCATAGCAGAATGAACTGGCAGGTGAACATGGAAACAGGGCACCTGAATACCAATATAAACCCAAGAGACAGAGACACACTCTGCCCTGCGAGTACATACTCTTGTCAAACAGCAAAACGTGTATCAGCTTGCCTGGTGTAACTTCCTAATTTAAAAACTTCAATCAATAACCTAGTCTTTCACTGTAATAGAGAGATCCTTTCAGAGCAAATTTAAAGAAAAGCCAACTTAACCAACACAAGAAAATAAAAATCAGGGGGAAAAATGGAATAGAAAGTAGAAATAACACTAGAGAAATGATATTAAAACTTGCTAATCTGAAATAATATTGAGAAAGTTTTAGCTAAACTGATAAACATCCCAATTACTGCAACCAGAAATGGGAAAGATTAACGTAGATTAAAAACTGTAAGAAAATGGTACGAGTAACTGTATCTCAGGAAATCAGGTAACTCAGCTGAAATGACAGATTTTTTCAGACACAAACTACCTCAACTGACTAAAAATGGCAAGGCACCTGCAGCCGGAGACTGACTGACAGGGATGCCCACGTTTGCAACATTTATTCAACAGGTTGTACAAGTTCTGACCATGGGAAACAGGCTACAGGAAAAAAAAGTGACAGACGTTCAGACTGGAAAGGAACAGCTAAAACTATGTTTATTCACAGATTATACAACTTTGTATATAGAAACCTAAGGCACATCAAACTTTTGTGCTAAAAGAACACTATAATAAAGTGAAAAAGATGACTCCTAGAGTGGAATAAAATATTTGCAAGTGATACATTTGGTAAGGAGTTGAACCAATTTAAGAATGGGCGAAAGATCTGAACAGACGCTTCTGCAAAGATTATATACCAATGGTCAGTGGCATAAAAAGATATGCAAAATCAGTAGTCACTAGGGAACTGCAGACTGGAACCATGGGACGTCACTTTATATGACTACAATCACAAAGTGGGGACGTGGGATGGTAAGAAGCAGTGAAGATGCAAACCTCACACACAGCCAGGGAAAGTAACACGATCTCAGCCACTCTGCCTAGCAGGTACCACACACTTGTCAAGAGGAATGATGTGTCGATGCAAGTTACAAAATGACCGAATGCTGAAAACATGTAAGTTAAAGCCAGTTAAAAAACTACATATTGTATGACTGAGGTGACAAATACCCGCAACAGGCAAATTTCCAGACACACAACCAGGTAATTCGCTGCCTGAAGCTGAGAGGCCCACAGGGCAAGGGACAGTGACCACAGTGGGATACAGGGTTTCTTTTGGAAGCAACACACTGCTTCAGTGTGTCATACAATGGAATGCTTCTATCCTTGGGAGTATGCAAAAAAGCTTTCAACATAGATTGTGGCGATGACTGCGCAACTGCTGTGAATATACACTAATTAGCACTAAAGGGTACCTGTTAAAAGAGAGGAATGCAAGATTTGTTAGTCTTATCTCCATGCAGTGGCATAAAAAAGGACACAGGAGTCTGCTTTGTTTGACAAAATGAGTAACTTTAATGAATACTGAATCTGTGGAAATCCAAGCATTTAGAGAAAGAAAGAAAATGTGCTGTTGCCATAGTTTAAGGTGGCTCTTAATTTCTTACAAGGAAAACTGGTATAGGTCAAGAATTAAGCTTTCGTCCTGTCTTCCCAGCACTGAGGATTTCCAGAAATCTCTGTATCCTAGCGGATGAAGTATCTATAAACTAGGCGAGTGTATCTTCTTAGCTTTAAGATGTAATCTAACAGAAAGAAAAATTGTATCTATAAGATACCTTAAAATATTTCAGTATAAGTGACTTTAAATTGTGATATATTAATTATCATGAAAAGCAGAAATTGTTTTTCCATAGGTTAGTAGACAAGATAATACTGCATCACATTTAATGATTTTGTAAAAGCGAGAAAAATTACAAGCAGGTGGTCACACATAACCAGTACTTGGAAACCTAGGGTGTTCCCCATACCCGAGGGACAGAAGCACTCCAGGGTGTGACACACTTGAAGCCGTGTGTTACGCCCTGCAGGCCAGTCACTAACAGTACAGGTAAAGGTCCCCATGTGCTCTCTGTGGTGCTGGGCAGAGAATATGTCTTTCCTTTTAATGCTGCAAAGACAAGCAGAGCACACACAGGAGAAGGCAACCCTGCTTAGCTCACCCGCAAGGCTTGGTTCCCAGCCCATCCTGATCAGGGCTTCCTTCTCTTGCTCCATGTCAACATTTAGAGCTGGTCTATCCTGGGACGCTGCAGCTTGAAAAGAAAAGTGACACCATGATGAACAAAGTCACAGGGTCGATTCCATCCTGGGACTGCAGAGACACCAGGCAAGGCAGGGACAGTAACTCCTAGGTGGGCTGTGCAGGAGGTACCCTAGTATCAGCAAGGGACCCTGGGAGCTCCAGAGGGTGTTCCCCAGGAACCTGAAGACCACAGGAGGGAGAGTCCTACCTAAAGCGAAATGAGACTTTGTACTTGGTTAGAGAATGTTAAACTGTTGTGGAAAACAGATGTATGGCTCCTAAGAGCAGCTCTCAAAGGGAGACACAGGGATTGATTCTCTCAAGACAATCTGGAAGTTCAATAGTAGGGTAAGGGCGCCAAGATATACCTCAAGTCCTGCTGGACCCAGAGAATCACTTCTAAGGAGGGAATGGAAGGAAGGTAATTTTTATGATTAAAAAAAAGAACACCTCTTGGCGGTCAACAGACTCCACAGCCTTCAAAACCTGCCTGCCAACCACTGACACTGCCATCTGAGGCCATTTAATAGATGAAGGAAGCCCAGAAGATATAGAGAACAGAGCTCTCACCCAGGGAAGCCACGGTCCTGTAATTCTCTACCATGGCTTCCTCGTACAGGGCCTTCCTCGTAGGTTTCAAGCTGGCCCATTCCTTCTCAGTGACTTGCACTGCCACATCGTCAAAAGCCTCCGAGTCCTGAAACAAATTACACCCTCTCAAACTTCATGGTATGATGACAGTCAAAACTGTCACTGAGTGCTCAGGAAAGGGCACCTATAATGACACTAGTTTGGTGTGAAATGTGCTGTGTAATGATGATGGTAATACAGGTTTATACATTTATAAAAGGTAAGCTATACAATTAAGACTTGTGTCAAATGCAAGTTACACCTCGGTGAAATCTGCATGTTTTCCATATTTATATAGACACATATGTACACAGTACACAGACAAACATATGCATGCATGCACAAAACACATATATACGCACATGTATGTACAATGAAACACAGCTCACCTGGGGTTTGGACACAGTTCCCATAGTATGCCTCTATTATTCCCTGGAGAAAGACAAAAGTCTCAGGAGCTGAAGTAAAGCAAGAAACATTAGTGACTATAACTCCTAAGTACCTCTGACCCATCCTATTTTAAGGTTACATGAACTACTGCATTATTTTTATCAGTTATCGCTTGTTATCAGCAGCAAATCTAGACTCACAGAAGAGAGCAGGCTCACAGGCATGCAGGAAGGAAACAGATCATCCAAGGAACTAGTAATGAAAAAGTAGACTGACAAAACAAAGACTTTCAAAGAAAATATAGCATAAACCCACACAAATATTGCTGCTAAATTCATGCAGGATTTCTGTCCAAATTCAGTGATTTGTATCTACTGCAGTTGTATACTGTAACTTTCTAAAATCTTCATGGTATCACGATATCTAATAAACTTCTCTTTCAGTGGACACTTAATAGGATATATTAAAAGGACTTAAACTGGGCGTGCTGGTACACGCCTGTGATCCCAGCACTTGGGAGGCTAAGGCAAGAGGATGGCTGCAGATTGAAGGCCAGAATGGGCTACATAGTGAGTTCAAGGTCAATCTGAACTGCACAGTGAGATGCTATTTATTTAAAAAAAAAAAAAAAAGAGGGAGGAAAAAAAGAAACAAGGTCTCATCTGTACAGCTGAAAATCTGAAAAGCAAATCATCTGGAAGGAAAACAGCAACAGAAGCCACCCACAAAACACTCCCTCTCCTCCTATTTTTCTACGGGGTAAAGCATGTAGCAGCTGATCCGTAAATAAAAGCCAGAATGGGGCGCAAACTGTAAGCCAACACCTTTCAGTAAGGGCAGAGACCACCTGTTTAAACCGATAGATCACAGACAAACCTCTGGAGAAGAGCCCGAAGGAGGAGGTAAGGAGAGCTAGGTCAAGCCACTCTGGGCCCTAACAGCTCATGCCCTGCCCGAAAGGACGTTAACCACGGCGCGCGCACGCAGCACGCGCACACACACGCAGCACATGCGCGCGCAGCACTCGCACGCAGCACCCCGCGTTAGGCAGCTTCAGACTCTGAACTGAAAATGGAGGAACAGTGGTCAAATAATTAAAACATGTCATATTCGCGTGTCAATTCCCCACAAGTGTGTTTATTCTGTACTGCAAACGTGGGCTAACAAAGCTTTAAAATGTCTCTGCGCCAGTCCAGAGGGCAGCGAGGCTGCTGCTCTCCATGCTGACGGAGGAGCGGGTGCCATCTTGGAAGGGAGCACACGCCCGTCCCAGCACCCTCCGCCCTCCACCCTCAGCCAGGATGTCGCTGGTCAGGCCAGGTGGCTGAATTACTGCAGCCCAACTTCCTGGGCCACCAACAGGATGAAGCGGCCAGGCAGGCCGCAGGCGCCACAGGCGAGGCGTTCTGAGGACAGTGACCCACGCACCCCTCGGTGAAGTAGCCATTACCGGACAGCACCCCTATTGACCCCGAGCAACGAGCCCGCTGTAGGAATGAGTTACCCTCCCTCGGGGCCCTATCGGGGTCTCAGGCCCACTCACCGTGGCTCCCAGTAGCCTCTAGAACTTCGGACAAAAGCGGTTGAGCAGTGAAGGCACGGTACTCAGGTACAGGCCCTCGGGCTGTAAAATAAAATGGCTTCCCCGGAAGTACGTCATCACGCTACTCTGCTATGACGTTGCCTCCTCGGATTCGCTCTAGGAAGCGTGGAGGACTGCAGCATCGTGGTCGTTCTGACCGCCAAGCCGGGAAGGGTGAAGACTAAAGAGAGGCTTCCAGGAGTTCCTAGGCTCATTCTTCCTTTGCTGGCCTAGCCTATTTCTTGGATAAATAGGCTGAGATCCTGCGTAGCTGTTCTTGCTTGGCTTTGTGGGCTCCTGTCTTCAAAACGAGCAAAGCCAGGCATTGTAGCTCACGCCTGTCATGCCAACCCTGGGAGGCTGAGACAGGAGGATTCCAAATTTGGGCCCACCTGGGAAAAGAGCGATTTAACAAGATTGTGTCTCAAAATTTAAGGAAAGGGGGAGCAGGTTGGGAATATAGTTTAGTATTAAAGCTCTGGGCTTAGTCCTCAGCGTGCACACATTTACACATGCACACACACAAGCATAAATGAAGAATTCAACACCTGACATGTTTCCCGGGATTAATTTGAGGCCTGGCTAGCTTAGGAAAGAGAAGCCTGGGAAGGGCTTGCTGGATGAAGAAGGCCAGGGACTTGCTTTCTGTATACCCAAGTCACTGCCTCTGTCCTGCAGGAGGACCAAGGATGAGGGACAACATAGCCCTCACAAGTCCTTTCTACCCCACAGCAACAGCCTCACCTCTCCCCTTCCTGTGGCCACTGTGATTCCCACCAGGCCCAAGTCCCTCACTTACGCTTATGTGCTGCTCCTTAGAAACCAGCACCCTGCCATGATGCCTGGTCCACGGGGCATCCACACCCCAGCCATGCGCCACCAAGACCGGAACTTGCCCAGTACCCTCTGTCCCTATGTGACTCCTGTCACCCCACTCATGATAATTTTTTATCTCCAGTCCTCAGTGGTTGGATCCTATGGGAACTTCACTGATCACCCCCCAAAAGACCTTTGAATATGAAAAAGTCGGATTTAAGGTCTGACTCCCTGCTTATCACAAAATATGGGCTTGGGTATGTATGTTGAGGCCAAAGCAAGAGAGTCTGTGCCATAGTGGGTAGCATAATACTGATTTTAGAACAGGGCTTAGTTTCACAAAATGTTACTGTCTCTAATGTTAAATTGACACAATTTGAGTATGACAATTAGAAGTTTCCATTGTAATTGTTATAATTTATAAATGTGAAATTTACTATCAAGCTCTAAGGATACACACATTTAAGTACTTTTTAAAAAAACACTTTTTGAAAAATTCTCACACATCCAGTTGTTTTAAATATAACTCAGACAAACCTGTGTTAAGCCATTTAGAGCCTGTCAGCTTTACAGACCAGAGTAACGGCACCTACCGTCTCGGGGTTATGGAAAAGACAATTGAAGGGCAGGGGATGTGGCCGCTGGCACAGCGCCTGCCTGGCAACCATAAAGTCCTGAGTTCAATTCCCAGTACCAGAAAGAAAAGATAATCCCTGTGGCTATAAACTCTGACCCAAACACTCCCACTTTGCTGTTGAGCAGCTGCACCTCGACGTGTAAATGCCCACTGTAATCCCCCTACTCCTGGGAGTTACCTTCTCACTGAGCTGCATCCTCGGCTCTTTTTATTTTTTTATCTATTTTTATTTATTTTGATCTAGGCTCTTGCTAAGTCACTAAATTGCCAGGCTGGGCTCAAACTTGTGATCCTCCTGCCTCAGCCTCCCAGAGAGCTGGGATTTTAGGCAAGCACCATCCCAAATGACTCCCCTTTCCTACAATCCTGTGCCTGTGCTGCCTAATAAAATTGGTACAACACTGCCATCTCGTGGTCTGTCTCTTCCTTCCTTCATTGGCCTTGAAATCCTCAAATTAACCATCGTGTTGAAACAACATAGATTTTTCGTCTTGCTTCCTAACCTTTCTTTAATGCTGGCTGCATTGTTACTTGTGACATTGTGTCACTACACCTTGTATGCATTCTGGCTTCCAGTGACTGTTAGAGTTTCTTACAACGGCTAAAAACACACAGAAAAACTTGAACAGTGATTTTGTTTCCTAACTGTGTTCAGTTAACCACATGGAATATTATCACACAATCTGTGAACCTCGATGTGTACAGGGACTTGTCTCCGATGACCAGAATCCCTGCCCTGCCAGAATGCTGCACCTTTCAACGTTGCTCAACCTCCCCTGTCGTTCGTGGCCACTGGCAGAGAGGAGGGCAGTGGGCCTGTGGGCAGAGGGAGAAGGCCAGTTCCGAGAGGGATCCAATCCCTAGAGAGCAGAGCTGCGGCTGTCATGAGGCTGATTAGAGGTAGGAGATGACATGAGGTGGCAGAAGAGCTGTTGAGCATCCTCAGAGGTGATGAGGTATGTCCACCTCAGAGGCCTTCCTGACGTGTTGTGCCAGTGACCAGGGAGGAGAGAAGTGGTAGTCCTGGAAGCCAAGGGTGAGGAGTCTGAGAGAGAAAGGACTTCCTATCGCCACCATTCTCCTTAGGTGGTGTAGACCACAGGTGCCATTCCAGGAGGAACACAGGTCAGCAAGAGCTGACGTGGACCCAAGCGCTGGCCGGGACCCATAGGAGCCCAGACTCCTGAATTCACCTGTGCCTAAATGAATGACAGTCACCCAGATGATGCCTATCTGGTGGCTCATTTCAGGCCAGCTACCATCCTGGGACTGAGTACAGCTGCAGGGTGAGGCCCTGTCAGTGTGTTTAGGGGCTCCTTGGGGTTCTTGGTCAACTCGCAGGCTGGGCAAGAGATCACAAGACGTCCTGCAGAAGAGACCTGGGCCAGGGGCTACGTAGGCCAGTCTGTCCTTGGAACTCCCCTGTAACAGCACCGCTGGGCCCAGCCACTCCCAGGCAACTGTTAGCAGCTTCAAAATACAGAGGAGGAGCCCTAAAGAGTAGGACCCCTGAGGGCCAGCAGAATGGGCCTGAACTGATGGCCTCAGAGAGTCACAATGCCCTGGAGGCGATCACAAGGCCAGACCTACCTACAGAAGCAATTGGAAAATTTGACAGATTCTATGGAGGCAGAGGAGAGTGAATAGAAGGGAACAAGTAACAGCTGGAACCATGACTCTTGGAAGGCAGGCTCGAAAAGTATTTAGCTGTTCTATGGTGGACAGCAACAAAAAAAGGAGCTAGGTGTATGTCCCCTAACAACATGCCTGAGGCGAGGTTTGTCTTGGCCCATGATGCTAGTGGTTCAAGCCCAAGATTGAGTGGCCGCATTTCTTGAGGTCTCTGGCAAGAATAGTGCATCATGGCAGGAGGGGACAGTGGAACAGCGGTCACCTTACGAGTCAGGAGGCAGACACAGGTAGACCAAGCAGACAGGCAGGGGCTGCTAACACCCTTTGAGGACACACCTCTGATGACTTAGGGTGCCAGTCTTGGGACTGCCCAGCGAGCCACAGGGGTACATGTATACTTACATTTAGAGTTGTAATTTTACCTTAATTGAATGTATTATGATACAATGACTCCTAGTCTCCTTCTACTGCTTTTAAGGTCTATTTTGTCAGGGCAAAATATGGATTCCAACCCTCTACATTCCAACTCTTTACATAAAGTTTATCTATGTCTTTCCTGGAGCAGTGTAACCTTTTTTTGTTTGTTTGTTTTTAACACTTCCATCATTCTATGTATTTTAACTTGAGAATTTGATCCATTTACATTTACCTATATTTATGGTAGGTAAAGTTTTACTACTGTCATTTTGTCACTTGTTTCCTAGTTTTGTTGTAGTTCTTTTCTGTCTTTTACAGTATTTTTTTGAGATTACACATTACTTACTCCACTAATGTGCTTTGGTTTATTGCTCCTGTTTTTGTCTTGAGTCTTCAGAGACTTGTTTTGTGGTTACCATGTGGCTTACAAAAACTATTTTATTATAAAACAATATTTTGAAATGATATAAAATTTAGCATTGAACATTGGGAAGAAAGAAAACACAAAAACAAATACTAACAAATACCTCTTGCCCTTTAACTCCCCCACACTTTGAATTCTTGATGTCTTACTTTTTATTTAGCCTACCCTTTACATATCACTTTTTGTTGTTTCAGCCTTCAAATTAAAATCTGAATGGCTTATCTATCACGTTTACCACATTCAAGTATTCTGAGTTTGTCTGTATAGTTACTCTTACTTAGTTTTATGCCTTCTGGCTTTGTCTTACCAATTAGCACCTCTTTTGATTCAAAGGATGGCGCTCAGCATTTCTTATAGTGCAGCTCTAGTGGTGATAAACTCTCTCAGCTTTTGTTTATATGCATCCCTACATTTCTTAAAAATAGCTCTGCAGAATGCTGTATTCTTTCTTTAGCATGGTGAAAACATCCCTTTGCTCCACCCTGGCCTTCCAAGTTTCTCTGAAGCCTGCTGTTGGGTAAACGCAGCACGCATGTGTTGCTTCTTTTCTGTTGTGCTTTGAGAACCCTCTCTCCGCCTTTGGCCTTGAGAGATTGCTTACAGAATGTCTCGGAGCAGATTGTACTGACTTTTGCCCTTCCTGTACCTGGATACTTTTATTCTACTGTAGATGTCAGAGGATTCTATTATTATGTCTGTGAAGAAGCTTCTGCCCCTTTTGGTATTCTCAGGGCCCTCTTGGGTCCCCAGTACCCTTGATATTTGGCTTTTAGTCCTGGTAAGCTCTGGTAAGCTTTTACCAGTCTTCGTTTTTTTTCTTTCTCTTTTCCCAATGTGTATGTTTAGGAAGCCTGTCTTTCAGCTCATGAATTCCTTCTTCTGCTTGCTGTTCTAATTTTGATGCCTTTTAATTTCACTTAGTGTAAATTTCAGCTCAAGTATTTTGGGGTTTTAATTCAGATCTCAGCACTGAAGATGCTGGCTCAATGGGAAACCTCAGCAACCCCACTCACATAGGAAACAGGCTGGCCAGGCTCCCTGTGAAGTTCCTCTAAAAGGGCACTGAGTTGTGTCCTCGTTGTCCCCAAGTCACTGCTCTCCTTAAAACAGCTACTATTTGAGCCCTCCAACTGAGGCCACACTTTTCCAAGCTGCTGTATGGTGAGTTTCTGGCACCCTGTGTTGCCTTCTGGGTGAAGTCACAGTTCCCTAAAGGTTCCTGGTGCAGCTGGTACACAGCCTCAGCTGCGCAGGGAAGGATCACGTGTTCACTTTAGTTTTCTTTGCATCGTCTTTCCAGAAGTGCCAGATAGGCTGGTTATATTCTCTTTAGCATTAGACAATGGTCTTGGTCTAGAGTGAACTAAGGAGGAACCTGGAAAGAATACTCCATCCCCACAAGCCTCCACCTATGACCAGGGAGGTCCCTGTGGTCAGGCACC